GGGGGGGGTCTCCAACCATTGTAGGCTTGTTATAAATCAGTGTTTGAGTTGGAGCTTTGGCAATTTACCAGTTGAGAATTTTGCAAATAAATTTTGGTTGGCAATAACGTTGAAAAACACAGTACTCCTGGGATTTTGTGAGGTGTTTTTTTCCGAACTCTTTTTTTTCTGTCAAAATTCTTCATTTACCCTGAGACTTCTCCTGCTGTGATAATAATTTCTATCCAAGATTAATCTTCTGGTTTCTATTCAAGAAACAAAAAAACCCCCTTTGAGTGGATTTAATCCTCACAGAGGAGAGGGGGGTAAAAAAAGCCAGTAGGGCTCTTCACTGCCTGACACAGTAGACAGTGCTGAAATTCTTGTATATATAAATAGTAAATATGGACAAAAGCTTGTCTGAGTGGGCACTTCTCTTCTAAATAAGTGCCAAGGGTGAAGGTTATCAAGATCTTGTGAATTCAGCCTCTAGAGGTAGAGCTTAGTTATGAGTACAGCAGTGCAAGCCTTACCTACTGAATCATGTTGTCTCTTGGTTTGTGTTGGCCATTTTGAGATGAAATGAGCTAAATATCAGTGGTTTATACTATACTAGCTTCAATGGCTTACAAAACATTTTTTTTCTCTGTATTTCAGATGATGTTGCACCATACTTCAAGACTGAACCAGGCTTGCCCCAGATACACTTGGAAGGAAATCGACTCGTACTTACGTGCCTTGCCGAAGGCAGCTGGCCCTTGGAATTTAAGTGGTTACACAATGACAGTGAAATAACCACCTACTCCAGTGAATATAAGTAAATAAAAGCTATATAATAGCCTTCTCTAAGTGTAATTGCAAAAAACCCCCAAAACAAACATCCTCTGCCAAAATCCCCAATACCACAAAACTCCTTTGTACGTACTGACACATTGAGAATGTTTTTTATCATGAAAGCAGATAGTTTTTTGTAAATTAATAGGGTCCCTATGAGAGAATCTCCTTTGGTAAAAAATATATTTCACACTCCAAAACAAGGGTCCTAACAGAGAATTATTAAGCACCAAAAAATGCTTTTTTTCTGGAGATGTAAGGTTACGTGTATTTGTAACATAGAATGGGCGTATTCCTTAGCTAGATGTTACGTATGCAGTGCTACTTACCCTTGACCAAAGCTAAGCTCAATGGGACTATTCTATAAGATCTAGAAGAATGTGGTCTGTCTGAAATTGCATATGAAACTTTTGGTTTCACTTCTATAGATGTGAAAATTAATCTTATAGTTTAGGAAACTGTTCTTCTATGATTATGCACTTAGCTCCCAGGACCTTGCTGACTCCCTGCCCCGCATTCCCCAAGACATCCCATCAAGCAAGAGAAAAACCATACGGTGGCTAAATCAGAGCTACGTTTTTGCTGATAGACAGCAGATGGCTGACCAAACATCAAAGTGCAAAACAGCCAAGTTCTGTCTACTTTTCCTTAATGGGAGCATTAACTGGGTCTCCACTATGCAGTTGTCAATTTCTGTAACCTTATATAAGTTTAATATTTATGCAACTTATTTATTGCTTTCAAATTTTGTTGAAATTATCTAGTGAAGTCACAAGTTATAAGGGTGGGTATGTGACAGGCGGTAGAGCCCTTTTATAACACTTGTGTCTTTAGCAAACCAAGCTAAATACTGCACTTTTATCATTACGTTGCTTAAGGTAGGGAAAAGTTGTGTTCCATTACTATAGACAGAAATTACAGTATAGATTAGTATAAAAATGCAGATAATGATATAAAATTCTATATTGTCACACAAGGTAGACCATAATTACTTTTCTCAAAGATTTTTAGAAATTGTAACCTAACATTAGCTCTATTTTCCATCATTATTTACGTTTACAGAACAGTATAGAGGAAAAAAAAATCTTTAAATAGCATTTTAAGACTCTTATGGGTCATTTAGCACATAAAGTATTTAGCAGCTGCGTTCCCAACCAAACATACAGTTCTGTATGAACTTTCCTAGAAATTAAAGGCTTTTGATTTAGTTGAGACCACTTAGCCCTGAGTAATTGCATCTATTAATGGCTGCTGTTTTCAAGCCTTGAGATACACTGATACCTCAAAATGAGCCATACACACATAATGGCGTGTTGTTCAATTTATAGAAGAGATTTGTGAATACTTTTTAGAAAACAAAAAAAAATCTCTAATAGCACAATTAATCACAGAAGGTTTGAGCGTCACTTGGTGTAAATGCCACTTGTTTTGATCAACAACAGCAGAGTCTTCTTGGTAGAAGGCGCTGACAACAGCTCTTAAATGCACAAGATGCTGAGCAAGTGAGACAAAGAAATAGTGTGGGAGGACAAAACACATGGACATGGAATGAACAAAAAGCAAAGGTTAGAACTCGAGCTTTGTAGATGTGCTAGTCGCCGAGAGACTTACATTTCATGATACTAGGAGAAACCTGAATAAGAACGTGTGACATTTTGAAACTAAGATTAAAATGCCATGGTATTTCTTAAATAATGCAAAATTGTAATTTTACCATGCATTGCAGGATAAGTTAGAATCACCTTTCCCGAGGTGTGTATCTGTATACACCTGTATACGGTACCTTGATTCTTATCGTTAGACTTAATTCAGTCTAGTGAATGTCAGGTCATGATACAAGCTATATTTATCAATTTTACATTTTTTATATTGCTCTTGTTTCTATTTCTAATTAAAACGTCTGTTGCAGAGGTGATTAAGAAGATAGGAAATTACTGGTTTCTAATAATAAAATAACAGTGATATAATATATTAATTAGAAGCTGCAGCCCTACTACTACACCACAGTCAGAGATAAGCCAAATGGGATTTTGATTCTATAGAAAAGCAAAGCTTTACGCTTCCAGAAAATATTATATGGCACAGGTGCATTAGGATGAATGAAAGCAAGGAAAAGATATGCTTAGGCATAAAAATTCCAGTTGCAAAATTTAAACTTTGACCCCAGAGTAGTTTGCTCTGCAGTTCTCTTGGGTAAATACTCTGTTTAAATGCATGAATCTTGCCTGTGTAAGTGACTTCTGCTGCAATTTGAATCATCAATCAAACATTTTTGGTAATTGATATTACTTAGTGTGTCTCAGTTAAAGTAATGTCTATATTGTAACAGGCTGAAAATATTCAAAGTTTATAACTCACCAACTGAGTAAAGAACTAATTGGAGTCTTTGCATTTTGACATTGGTGACCCTGAATGAACAGCTTTTCTTTGTGAAACGATGCTGATAATGTGCACAGACTGGCTTTTGTAGTGACTGTGCATATACTAGTTTGTATTAAGAATTTATAAAACAACCTTATAAATTCTTTGTGATCTGAGCTATATGTAATGAAAACAAATCAGTGTTGCTCACTGCAGTAGCCATTTTGGTTATGTCTGTAAGTTAAGGGTCTTTAAAGTTCAGACAGTGAGTTTTGTCTTTGTTTTTTTCTTTCTTTTCTTTTGGATTAAATTCTGGGCCAGGTGTGTTTTCCATATTTGCTTTTCTGGCCTGAAATATTAATTTATTTGAATTTAAGAAACTGAAGCTATGTCTAAGCAACAGCATGCTTTCCTCCCAAACTACTTTAAAGTACCTGATCATTATATTTGTGGTTTTAACATTGGACATGTTTTCATTTTATTCTGTATAAAAAAAGTTAGATTAGTTGATGCATAAATTCCTTGTTAAAAAGTTTGGATAGATAGTAAGTTATGTGACTGTCTAGTAAAATGCATTTGGTCTTAATTCTGTCGTCACCATTATGGCTATTAAAAAACCTGTAGCTTATACGTCCACTTTTAAGTCTTATAGAATCACAGAATGGTTTGGGTTGGAGGGGACCTTAAAGCCCATCCAGTC